TAGACTATGGCAATGCGGTAAACCCTACAGTCAGTAAATATCCAACCCTCGTTGCTGTACGAGTATAGAATCTATGAATTCATTATTACCCCCTCCGAGTTTCTGCACGAAACTACGGAACAAAATATCGGCACGCGTCCTCACACCGATAAGCCATGCAGACAGATAAAACAACAGAAAAGCCCCTCGTGTGTATCATCCGGAGTCACCCGAAATGCTTGGTACCTCCAAAAAAGTGCTCACCGTATTCAAATCCACGGAATCCGAGAAAACGAGAAAATTTGACATTTGAATTTCCCGCGTTTGGGGTTGAGGATGAGAGAGACGGTTGCCCATATGGAAAAATTTGTATTTTTTTAAATATTGATGAAAAATATTTTCAATTCACACCATTTATCCTCATATAATATATAAATAAATATTATGTATATTTTTTTATATATTTCTATGTGGGGCGGGAGAGGAGCGGTCGGAATATTTGAATTCCGCGGGTTTGTACTCAATTCAATTAAAAGTGAATTAAAGTACTCGAAAAAAAATACATCTCTTACCGAAACCAAAGCCGAAATCCGCGAGACTACACGGGATAATTCACATAGAGCCTTTGAATTTCCCGCGTTTATATCCAAGGGGATAAAACTGGGAGAGGAAAAGCGATGAGAGAGGCGGTTGTGGGACGAGCGGTCGAGTCAAGAGGAAGAGAAGTTGAGAACAGTGGAAGGGAGGAGGGGGGGTTAAAGAGTAGCCCGAGGGCGGCGGTGGGCGGTGGGTGGCGGTAGAAGGTGGACGTGGGGGGGAAAGTGGAGTGGGCAGAAGGGGGGGTCCACTGAAAACCTGACGACAAACCGATATGAATTCGGCGACACGCGTCCGTTGAGGTCAGGGGTGTACACACCTGGCGCCGCCCCAAAGGCACGCCTACCTGCGCCGTCTTGGGTCACGGACAGAGGAGGGGAAGGGAAATAACGGCAACGCCTACGCGCCTATCATCCAACCTACGCCTATGCCTACATCGAGAAAATATCCCCCCCTAATCCCCATTTCACCCCTTTCTCCCTCAGACATTGCCCCTCACCCCCTTCCGGATATATTAAGCCTCAGTCGATGCAACTGCCTACGTCCGCACCTTTTCACTCATTTACCCCCTGAAAATCCCACCCAAAGGGTTGAGGATAGGGATGGCAAAGAGAGAGGGGGGGTGTTAGGGGTTGATGGGAAAGTCGATGGGAAAAGTTTTTGTTTTATCGATTTTTTTCTTAATCATTTTTTCGGCGAAGGAACAAAGGGGTGAGGAGGGGTGAAGAGGGGTACGGAAGAGCGGGGATGTGGCGGTGGAAGAGGGAGGAGTGTTTCATCGATAAGTGAATTTTTTGGGAGGATGGACCAGGGGTTGGTGGCGTGAGGGGAATACGATTAGTACAGAGGATTCTTATCGAATATTGTTTTTTGGTAAAGGGGTTAGAAAATTCTTGATTTAATTTTTTTCTTCATATTTTTTTTTTTTGGGGGATCATGCTTACGCCTATGGGCAATCGTCTTTTGCACACGCCTACAACATTCCCCCCACTTTAACAAAACTCGACCATTCGCTGGGTTTGAGATACTACTACCCCAGTTCGCCTGGTGCGTTTACCCTCTTGTGAGTTTGTGGATCGGGTCACCAGGTGATGTATATGGCAAAGACGCGTAGGAGGGTTCAAGCCACTTTCACCCCCTTCTACCCTCTCATACCTTCCCCCTTGCCCCACCCGCCCCTTATGTGTGTGGGGGGGAAAAACTATTTCTCCACCCATCGAGCTTTTCTCCTTCTCACTTCAACCCGGTGTTCCACCTCAAGTCCAGTTCTTACTGTTTTTTAAATAAAAAAAAGGGTTGCCGGAGTTGTTTTTTTTTTTTCTTTTCTTTTCAATTTTTATTTCAGTGAAAACGGATACCCGACCTGCCGCGGGGATAATCCGATGCCATTTCTCTTGTGTCATATGGATAAGGTGGAATGGGGGAGACAGGGGAAAAAATATTGCCACGTAGAATTCGGGGAAGTTCATTCTTCGGGCCATTGTCGGTTATTTGTCTTTTGCAATCGACGCTGAATTTCTTGGAGTTTTTTTGCAACACGTGTCACGATTGGAGTCATTTCTAGGAAATTATTATCGCGGGTTGTTAATGATGAAAAAAATATTGTTGCTTTCAGTTATTTGATCTCGATCTGTCATTAAACTTTCCTTTTTATTCATACCATTCTGTTCAGTCGAGAAACTGTCGGAAATTTCAGGGGAACTTTAAAAATGCCGGCTTTTGTCATAGAAACTTTTCACAAATTGTTTAGGGACAGTTAATAATAGCCCCCGGGGTTTTGCAATTTTAAAGAGCTTTGGATGGAGAATTACAAGTGTACATTGTGGACAAATATAGGTGGGACTTTATTCCAAGAAAGTATTATCTAAGATGTTCACAGAAATTTTTTAATAAAAGGTTCTTAACCTTTAGACCCAACCCACTCAAAAATGGAAGCTCAGAGCAACACCGGCTATTTCCGTGTCTTTCAGCGGATGAATCAATACACGGAGAGAAAAAATACTTGAATCCCCTGCAACCCCCGGCAACCCCCTGCACCCCTAAAAAATCAAAACACCCATGCAAAACTCGATAAACTTTTTTCAATTGCCAGTGGATTTGTTTGAATTGTTGGAAAACTGACAAACCGATCTCCAATTATCCCGATCGCTCATTATCCCGCACGATGGGACGAATAAATAAATAATAGTATTTTAATCATAAAAAAATCCTCCCCCTCTCCTGTAGTATTGAAAGCTCACGTAATAGATACCGAAAGAGAAAAAAATAACAGAAAGAATAAACCGATATCGTTAAAGAAACCAGAATGAACAGAGATCAATAATCTTTCTCCGTACCGATATAAAAAAACAAAATACCTACAAATTGTTATGTTTTTCTACAGTAACGTTTGTACCGACTTACAACAAATATTTGTACAATATTAATGATAATGCGTGTACCTATACAACATAGGTATAATTTTAAAAAGTGAAGATGAAAGAAATGAAAATGATAAACCCAGATGCAATAACTTTTTTAAAGATTGAACAAAAAAAAATGTTTAACAACGGAATATTTTTCATACGTCGGACGAATTCGGTGCGGGCCGGCCTGACGCCCCCGCACAATCCCCTGAGTATTTAAAAAACATAAACAAAAAATATAAAAAAAAAAAGAAAAGAGCAGAGGAAATAATCTACCTTAACCACATTTCGTTTTGTGCCAACCCAGTCTTTATTTTTTCATTTCAATTTTTCGTTTACAGATGTGACTACGAATTTTATAATTGAATGATTTTAAATAATGAAATGTTCTGATGAGTAATCCTCCCACAAGTCTCAACATGATGCCACTATCACAGTAATAATTACTATAATGAGAAATAACGAATGGAGAGAAATGATAATTGACTTGAAAAAAATGTGTGTTTGCGTTGTTGTCAATTGAAAATGGAAGAACTTGAAAATAATACTGAATTTGTAATGCGAGTGAGTCTAAACGATAGTTTATTCATTTTTTTTTTGCAAATAACAAAAGGAACTCGAGTTCGTTGTTTATATTCTCGTTTTATTGGAGATGTATTCGTCATGTTGCGTGTTGCAATGGAAATCGCCTGCTGAAAAATATTACCTTCACGCTACGACAAGAACAAAAATAAATAACAAAATGATAAATAAAAAATAGGGAGAACTGTGGAGATATGATTATTAACGTCTGGACTCACTCACGATTAGCGCAAATCATTGAATTTTTATTCCGGCTTTAATCAATTTAAAAATAATCATTTGTTCACCCGTAGTTCATCGTGCACTGAAAAAGATGAGAATAAAATCTTTACACATTCACACCCCGTTGTAGATAATCCGGAATTCACACACGTTGTCTTATAGGAAAAATAATTGAAGAATGAGATGTGAATGAGTGCGGTGGGGTAATGAAAAATTCACTATTTAATTTTTAATAATCACGATAAATCGACGAATTCCACTCGTCCCAGAGGGAAATCGCGAATTAATTCCCATAAGAGCCAGATTTGGAGTCAGAATTGAGGTCAAAGTCCCCGAGAAATTTCCAAATTCACCAGAACCAATTAAAAAATCATTTTACTCCATTAATTAACCAAAAGTTCTCACGACTTTGTCCTCAATTTTTTATGGAATCGCTCGCTAAAAGATAAACCACCGGTGGAGCAGAGATGGTAAAAAATAAAATAAAACAAATCACGACAGAAACATTTAATTTTTATGTAAAATAATTTCTTCGTTTTCAATCTAATATTTTCTTTTTTCGGTTCTTAGATGAACGAATGCATATCATAGTTGTAAATTATCAATTTGTGAAATAAAAACTGCAAACTGTTTGTGTTACCATTAACTAATTCATCCAGTCTCTCTGAAATAATAATTAATAGTCAAACGGCAAAGCACTCTTCAAACCAATCAACAAATCATCGAATTAACCGGTAAGTCTGTTGTGCCATTTGCGCAATTACACTGTTGGATAATTACACTTGAAATTTCAGGTAATCCCCAAAAAATTCGATTCCTCAAATAAAAATTAGCAATAAATCCCCAATTGATTTCAATCCCCTAAAAATTCCCGCAAAATTGTTCCTGAAATTTCAATAAATTCCCAACAATCAAATATCAATTATCAATTAACCCACGCTTAAATATTAATTTATTTACCCAGAAACCACTAAAAATCTATTAAAAAAAACCAACGGAAGTCACCGATCGATATTTCTAATAAAATTTCCATTACCAGAAGCCGCAGGCAAAAACGTAATAAAATTTTATTAAAAATTTCCATTCGATCTCTCCGTTTTATACATTTTTCCACGAAGATAAGGGATTGTATCTAAACTAAAAAAAAAAAAAGATAAAAAAAAACACAACAAATGGTTAAAACCCGGATTAACCAAAAGTTTCACCTGTTCCCAGATGTCATTGGCCCTTGGTCTTGAGGCAGGTGGTTGGGGTGCCCTGGTGGATCGTGCCCGTAGTACAGGAAGTCCCCTCCTACCCCAAAGTACATTTGGTTTAGGAACCCTGGCCCGTAGATGCGGTGTCTGCCTGGCAACATTCCCCTCAGCCTGGCTCCTAGAGCGTCACGCACTACTCCAACATGCAGGTCAGCCCAACGATGACAAGCCCTTCACCTGCGAGCAATGTGGCCAGCGTTACCGTTACCGTTCAGCCTACGTCAAACACCGAGAGCAGAATCACCGAGCCCGACTCCCCGCCGACAAACTATTCACCTGTGACGTCTGCGGCATGCAATTCAGGTATTTGAAATCATTTAAAAAGCACAGATTGAACCATGCCCTAGAGCGCCTCCAACGAGGCCCCGAGCACCTAGCAAATAGACTCTCGATATCAGCACCAGCTGAGAGAAGTGATCAGGTATCGAGTACTGGTGAGCCATCGAGTGTTGAGGGTAGGAGTGAAGCAACAAGTCCAACCAACGAGCCCGAGGAGACAGCACGAGACCTCACCGAGAGTATAGAGACCAACTCGGAGACGGCGAGCTTGCAGGAGACCCAGGAGGTGCCTGATCAGCCCGTTGATGCCACTAGGTCAGGACTGATGGGACAGGCTGATGGTGATAAACCGGAGGTGAGTGAGCACATGGAAGAGGCTGCTGAGGCCACTGAGAGGGTTCTCAGCATTGTCAGGGCTCATGACACTGATCGGCGTGAACGACGATTTGCCTGTCCCTTTTGCGGCAAATGCGTCAGGTCCAAGGAAAATCTTAAGCTACATGTGCGCAAGCACACTGGGGAGAGGCCATTTGTTTGTCTCTTCTGTGCTAGAGCTTTTGGGGGAAAGAGCGATTTGACTCGACACCTACGGATTCACACCGGGGAGAGGCCCTATCACTGCGAAATGTGCGGTAAATGTTTTGCCAGGGCGGATTATCTATCCAAACACCTCACCACTCACATCCATCAGCGTTAGAGGAATTATCGTGCCACCTGGGGGGAATTCTAGGTTTTTCTTTCCATTTTCTTTATCGTTGTCTTGCCTATGTGAGTCAATTACGTATCGAGTCGTCGGTTGTGTTGGATTTTTTGAATTCTTTATTGTTTTTGTTACTGTATTTTTGGGTACCAAAGATGGATTTGTCCCAAATTCAACGTTATCGCTATTGATAGTGAGAATAATTTGTGATATGGAGAATACCAAAGGACTGATCTAGGAGATGATCTTCCAGATGTCAATGGATTACAAGAGAAAGGCGAATAAATGGTGGAGAATTTTAATCGTTCGACTCTGGCTCATGCCTGAGGTCTCACGATTTTTTTCTAGCTTTCGAGTTCGGAAATTATTCTGGATAATCTGGAGCTGCTGATTGTCAAGGTGTATAGTTAAAGGTGAGAATTATTTCGGAGTTGGTGGGCCTAGAAAAAATGTAAATAGCTAGATCGAAGAACTAGTACTTGAACGAACTGCAACTCAATAATGAAAAAAACGTAATGGAAGGCGTTAAATAAAAAATAAATGGGAAACTCAGAGAAGCCATGGAAAACCTGTATAATTACGTGTACTGTAATAATTGCGATGTGCGTGACGCCGATATGTCGTGGGCGCTAATTTTTTTACACGAGTTCCATATACTAGAATCGACACGGTTGAAAAATATTACAGGCGAAATGAAAATAAATTTAAAAAAAAAAATTGTAGAAAGGGGGTGGCGACGACGTGTGCATGGAGCGGAAGGACACGCGGATGACACCACAAAAATAATGAATCTGGGGAAGAAAAAAAATATAAAGAGAATCGATCTGACTCGTCCTTCCGCAGAGCGTGCCGGTGCCTTTGAATCCCGAATCCTTTTACGTGGATAGCAATAAATTTTCATTTTCCTCTTTCTCTACACGAAAAGCTATCCTCATGGGTGTAATGACAAAAAAATTATTTAGGGTAATTATTTAATTTTTTTTAACGAGAATTTGATATATTCAGATAAGTGTATTTTCATGGAGATTTTGGTTTTTCAATTTGTGGCGTGAGTTTTTCGATTTTTTGTTTGTTCCGGAATTTATTTAATTCTGCAATAATTGATCGAGAAAATAGAATTCTTTTTCTTAATGAAGAGAAGTTTATAGAATTATTGAATAATTTATGACAATGAATTATTACATGATTTCAATCTGCAATTATCTGACGCTAAATCCAGAATTCAATATTTCACGAGTCAGTGAAATTGCACTTATGATTTTCACTCGTCGCATGATCACTCCGGACAAAGACTTTACATCGAAATAAATTATATGCCGACGTAAATATAGAGTTAACCCCTTAAAACGTCAATACTGCAAGTGACATCCGGTTGGGGTGAAATTTAATGGAAGTGCTTCAAAGTTTTCTGTGATTTTTTAATCTATTTGAAGATTCATCACTCCTTCATTTAAAATAACAAATTGAATTAATAGAGAGATTGAGGAAAATGTTAAAGAGAGAGAAAACGTTAATAAATATTGATATACTATATTTCGAGACAAGTGCGATGGATTACACGTGCTGAACAATTCCGTCGGACATGTTTTGAACAATATTTTTATTCATCGGTGTTACATTCGTCCGTGGCATTTTTTTTTTCCACAAAAAAAAATTGCGAGATCGATTGAAAAGGGCATTGAAGCGCGAGGCGAGTGTAACACCCGCGAAATAAATATGTAAATAATAAATATGAATTAATTGTAATCACTGTATGTACAAGCTCATCTAAATGGCTTTACTTTTGTCCACTGAACTCTGTCCGTACCATTGGGTAATGTCTGATGGACAACGAGACGTCATGGCTGCTGGACAATAAATTCATCAACAATTATTGATTGCTCGGGAGAATTTCTTCATGTACATGTGATTCCCCTCAATTGAGAATATCCCTGAGTATTTTTGAGATTCATTTATCGTCGATTACGCACAATTGTGTGGATTGTAACGAGATGATTAACGTGATAATTCGGTAATGAGTCGTTAACCGGTAATTAACCGCAGGATAAATAAAATTAATCCGCACTGTTATTACGAGGGATTAATTGAAGCACTCGAAATGTCACTGCGATCCTCTCGTTTCCTGAGTGCCAAATGATAATTTAATCTTTTGGTTTGAATCCAGAATAATCTCGAGCAATCAGAGGGAGTGGAGTTTATCCTAGAGAATTGTTGTCCTCACCTGAACTCGTTTCACATCGAAACTGAAAATCCGATGAACGAATGATGATTGAAGGTGCTAATTAACGATTTAGGCCCGATCGCTAACCAACTGTGTCTAATTGCCGATAAATATTCAAATGAAATAGTGAATATAAATAAATAAACGGGGAGAATAATGGGAGACCGGTTTGGTGCGTTCGAGTGGCCGAATTTTAAAGTGTAATTTAACTACATAAATTTCAAGAGAATCTAGAATTCAATTCAATTCGTATTGGTATAATTATCACCCGCCGTTGGATAATCGATATATTGAACTCACGTGGAGAGAAAATATCGGAGAAATCTTTCCTTCATTTTTCTCCACTCGTTTTCATTGATAAAAAAATTCCTCAGGGCCTGGTAGTGTCGGCGTTGGTTGAACCATTTTAACGGTGCAATTATTCGGTGAAAATATTGCTGTGGAAAATTCACAATCAATTTTTCATTTTTTGATTAATTGAGTGATACTTGAGAGACTGTCTCGGGTAAAATTCGTTTTATCCTCAATTTTTCAGAACCATTTTGTTACTCTCCACCTCCACTTTTTCAATTCAATTTTGCAATATAAAAAACTCAATCAACAGACAAAAATACATCAAGGGGATCGATATCGATGCAAGTGGCGGGTCTGATAACAAAGTGATACTGGAGAACATTGTACTACACTCTATGACGCTAACTGCTAAACCCATTGATGGACATGTGGTACTTTTCACGTATCCGATTCCGTACGTGTGCATTTCCGGGGTGATCATTCAATATTGCACTTCGGTGTATGATCACAGCGTAAAGCTGCGTAAAACCTCGAAAAAATCGAGCTAAAAAAAAAGAGAGTCAGACAAATTTTTGAATTTCAGAAAATTAATCCCATTTTATGCACACATTTTACGTAATTAATTGCATTATCAATAATTATTATTCCTGATTGGTATGATTTTTTTTTAATTGATAAAAAATTATTTTATTTGATTTTTTGTTTTTTACGTACAGGAATAATGTAATAATATATTCGGGTGGATAATTACAGCTTCATTTTTGCTCTCTCGTCTGCACAATTGAATCTCAAAACCCGCGCTTTAAATTTCAAATTGAATTTAATATATTCCACCCTTGGGACGGGTGTAACGAGTAATTGAAATGAGTTCAATGAAATTCCGAGTGTACTTGCACTTTAACGAAAAAAAAAATCTCAGACAACGACAGAAGAATGTGATGTTAATTTTCTCAACGAATCGTCGAGTTCAATATTTATGAAAAATAGGGATTATTTGAAAACCAGACACTGAGGAATAAACGGGCATTTTTATCCACGGCGATTGTCAATGATAATCTCACCATCTACCTATACAACACCAAATAATATCTACATAAATATAAATAAATATATATTGAAATTAAACTAAATTATTAGCACTAAACATGAAATATATATTTAATGAATGTTCCTATATTTATACTATAAGTACATAACTAAGTGTATAATATCGATATTCGACGGTAATTTCCGATTTTTACCAAAAGACAAAAACTCAGTAAAAAAAACATGAAAATTAAAAGGAAAAAAAAAATAAATAAACGATGAGTGTCTAGCTCTTAGTCCATTTTGAATTTTTGGTGGTGGAGAAAAGTTTTAGAGCGGGAAAAAAAAAATCGACAAATACTTGAATTGAATTTGAATAAAATCGACGGAATATAAAAACACTCAAAATTAGTAAATGGAAGAAATGGGGGGTGGGACTTTTAAATATGTAAGCAGGTCGTGAGTGGCGGAGGCAAGGGTCTTCCTATATTGACTGAACGATCAGATGTGATATACGTGTAAGAAAACTATGAAAACAACAAAAATTATTACCTATTAATTTATTAACCGTAATATATGTAATTTAAACACTATGGTTACGATATACAAGAAAACAAAAATTAATAAAAAAACATTATATCTACATATTGTGTATAGGTAGATAGGACATATACAATGTTTTTAACTGATTTATTCGATGTTCCGAGGATATAGCCAATTACGCTAAGTGTATCTAGGTAATTAATGATTCCATGATTTCACCCACGGAAAATTCTGTGTACTTTAATCAAGTATATTTATTGCATTTAATATAAATATATTCATATATTTATTTAAAGTATACTTTATACTTGACTCAAGTATTTTTTTTCCGCGCCTGAAAAAACTGATGAAATTGTCGAATAAAAAAAAAAACAACCAATAGGAAAAACGGAGGGAAATCTCTCGTGATTAAAATGCTCGATTCAATAAGGGACCGTGCGAATCGTTATATTTTTGAATATAATAAACAAATGAATAAACAAAAATAAATCGGCTATATTCTACACACACAAATCGCGTACAAATTAATGATACATTACCTCGATAAATGATGGAGAAATAAACTATAATTATATTAAATTATTTATCCCAATTGCATTGATACGCTTCCATAGTTTATTTCTTGTTTTTCATTTAGGAATAGATTTATTAATTTAGTGAGTGGAAAGGAAAAAAAAATTCGCCATGTCCCTAAGAAAAATGAGAAATTTAATGGAAAAAAAAACATTGTTGACAACAGCAGTAGTCCGAGAAATGAAAAAAAAAAAAACATTAAATAAAAATATATAACGTTCCGTGCAATAACAATTTGCTCAATCCTCGGTGTACGTCGGTCCGCCCATACACGGAACGACATTATTTATCGTAGTACTATCGCTAGTAGATTTTAAACTAATCCCCATTTTAAAAAATTGTAGCAGGAATTATATATTTAATGAGAATTTCATAAACATTGTCTCCTTTTTCAATTCTCCTCATGTCTCGGTGTCCTTGGTGTCTATTCTAACGCGTATTGCTAAACAATTTCTAAAATAATCGAAAAAAACAATTGAGTCATCTGTGTATAGAAACTTGAATGGATTTTTCGCACAGTGTGATTGTAACCAATTAACACTAGGTGCTGACAATTTATTGATTTATGCGATGAGAAAATTATGCGCGAGAATTTTTTTTTTTTGCAAATGTAATGATTGATTTTTATTGATTCTATTAATCGATTGTTGTGTTTAATGCGACCAATTTTATTATAAATGAAAAGCAACCGAAAGTGCAAATATATGAATTTACTGGATACGAGTAACAAACGACGGGTTCGTTTAGATTTTTTATATTTTACAGGTGATTAATTGAGTGGGTGGGGGAGAGTAATTACATTCACACTGTGATTTCAATGATTTTTTCGTGGCCATGTAACTATGATCGTTTTTATCATACCTACGTAGATATTATTCGTATTGATATGTGAATGCCAAATCGAGGAAATCACAGCAGAGCGGATGTGGAGGATTTTGTAATTTGACAAAATGATTGAAAAAAAAAAAATGAAGGAGAATGAAAAATTACAAAATGCTCAATTTGCAACGCTAAGATATTTGACATGGATGTTAGAGATATTTTTCAACTTGTACTAAATGTGATAATTGATGAATTGACAATGAGCAATCTAATTGTAATATAAATATTATATATAAAATTATATTTAATAGATATATTGAATAACATACATGAATCGATGTCTGTCCGTAAAAGCCGTGACACTAGATTTTGCATAGTATGTGTTAGCTCATGTAATAATGTACGATGAATGATTATTTAAATTAATGATGTAATTGAGACAAATGGAATTTTAAGAATGACATGAAGGGGAGATTATTATCGTACCGTCTCAAATCTGTCCACAATTATTGCCGATGACGCGAGGTGAAATATTTATATTTGTTCATTATTATTTATTTAACGAAAGTAAATAGTTTATCCGATCGACCACAAAATCCGATCCCATGCCGTCACAATCCCTCAACGACCAAATTTACCACAAACCTATCGATTCATTAATGAAAACCAAAAACACCTCGCGCCAATGGTCGCGTAAATAATGAAACAACAAAAAAATTATATATAAATATTAATACGCTACACTAAATATACACTGTAACCGATTGTTGTCTACGATATAATGTTATTTTTCTAATTCATATTCAATTGTTATTGTTGAGGACAAGCACATCGAATTTTAGATGAAAAAAAGGGAGAGAGGAATTAACAAAAATGTGAACGCACGCAAGTCGCGAATTATTTTATTTCGCGGTGGAATTCGATACGATAATCGAACTACCAAAAAACGATTTTAGTCAAATGTATGAATTAAGCCTGTTCAAACATCATTTTTTAATAGCACAATTGAAAATGCATAATAGTTCGATTTTTCAGTGCCAAGACTCAAATTATTTACAATAAACATCACGGAAGTTGAAACCCGCACTGATCACCAATTATTATAGAAAAAATTGATCACATTGTCGAATGTTTGAACGGCTTAATTAAATTAATCCAACATAACTTATTGAATTTCATCTAATGCAATGTCGTATGCTATGAATTAAGTAACGCTTGCACGGAATGAGAAAAATAAAAAACGAAAAAAAAAAACAATTAAATAAATAAAAGCAACGCACTATGAAACAACGACGCTAAAAAAATGAAGCTCAAATCTGTTTAACTCTCGGTACAGGCCTATTTTATAATTAATTATTACCTGATTTAATTCAAAAATTAACACGTGTGAGAAACTATTGAGTAAGTTTTATTTAACCGATACGGAGGGGAGAGAATAATAATTGAGAGCCATAAAGTACGCGGTAATGAATATTGGACTGCACACTGGCACAAGATAATGCTGTGAACACGTATTGTATTTTTTGTAAGGCCCATTCTGCCAGATTGTGATAACCGAGTTCTCAGTATTCGTCGTAAGCCATTGCCAGTGTTTTGGCCATTATTAATCTGTTAAATAAGTAAAAACTAATTGAGAAGATCGAATCGACAATTTCACCTCGAAAAATAGCAACAAAAAAATGGGCGCAAATCGATTGGATTAAACACTTGTGCTTAAAAAAAAAAATCATAATTAGAGTGAAATTGTCAATTTGCGAGGGATAAATTAATTGGACATCGGCCATTAAATTCCGCAATGCCAAAGATGGATAGCAAAAAGATAATTGCGCAGTGCCGCGGGTTTTCATGATTGAATTATTTCTCATGAAATCTCGTGCTGGAGATAATGATTGTTGTTATTAATTAAAATGAAATAATTATTTGATGAAAAAAAAAATACACGTTTAACTTAAATATCAGTGTCGTGCAATGAGCGACTGATGCTCCTTCGGTGTTGTGGGTAAAAAAAAAAAGTACATTACTCGTTCCTAGCGACTTGTATGAATGGTTTAAACTACTCATACTAACGCATAACATTGCATTGATCCACTTTAACTCTACTTATTCTAACAAGAAACGAAATAAATAAATACATTCTGTCCAAAACTGAGTTGTTTGTTCTTTCTTCAGTTTTTTTCCTTTCATCACAGCTTCCCGTGGAATAAGAGCATTTACAGGTGAGATGTTACAAAGAAACAATATTTTTATTCATGCTAAAGTTGACTTGTACAGTTCTGCATTACAATGTCGTATATTACAATTATTTAGTCATTTATTTTCCCTTTCGTAATTCGTTGACCATTTCGTCTATCACTGCATCAATTGTTTATTATTCTCAATTTTATCGGGGGTCAAATTATGGGGGAATTCTATTTTTTCATGGAATATTCCAGTGAAATTGTTAATTTGAAGAACTTAAGATTTCAGTTGAAAAATTTGGTGGATAATTTGGATTTTTATTGTAATTCGATCATGTTGGTATCGTGGATTAATCTCGTATTGCATTTATCGATAAATCACTATTTGTTATTTATCTCTCTTCCACCGTCGACTCAACGCCGGCTTCCAAAATATTTCCTCTCACTACTCAATAAGTCAATTAATCTATTTGTCCGTTTTATAAAAGCAATTAATTTTCTACCGAATTCTGAGTTGAAATTGTAAATGTAATGGAAAAATGAAAAAATCCAGCTCTCAATTGCAAAAAATGCCTCTTTTATACTTGATTTTTTTTCGTTGAAACATTCAAGTATTATTTCACCTGGAAATATCTTTCTGAATATAATTCGGTGGTTTATAGAATTATATAATTCAACTCATTACATTTTTCGTTCAAACACAGAATAATAATCTCATGCAATTTTATCTTCAGTAAGTTGTAAAAAAATGCTAAATTCACAGCAGTCTGAAATTCTCGGGCTAAAATAAAAAGTATAAAAGCTGACTAAAATTTGCCTATAAAAAAGATCATAAATCATCAGATCTCGGGTTAATGATAGATTAAAAATAATTTGTTAATTAAAAAACACGAAGTTGTGGCACATATAGCCTCGAACCAATAGCTACCTAGAATTGCGATATAAAAAACTCGACTTGAAAAAGAGCATCAAACATGGGACTACAAGCGAACGACCAGAGCTAGTCGCTCTTAAGCCTTTTTTCTTCCAACGAATAAAACCGATATGTTGTTTGTTCTTATCACGTTACCATCACACAAAAACGTGGCCTGCCTTACATTGGAATATTCCTCTTCCAGCGCATGACATTAAACATAAATTGCACTCGTAAAAATTCACAGTAGAAAAGTTGAAATAAAAAAAAAAATGCGTTAGCCTTATCTGCTTAAACAATTTCCTAAGTGGAACGTTAAACAAATATGTTAATAATTTCGTTTGAAAAAAAACTAGTCGTAAAAAATCGCGTAAATACGTTGCGACAAAATATTAATCGATTATTTTTCATCTATAACCGAACTTTTAGGTCTTCCATGCGTTGCTTTATTCGACGCCGCATTTCCTTGTACCTGAAATGAAAAATATTCAACGACCATTAATTATTATAATTTTCATGAAGGGTTGATAAAAAAAATCAACGGTTTTTCAATAGTAATAATTATTCGATTGGAGCATTAATAATTGTTAGCAATAAATAATGGTTAGCAAACTTACTTTTCTTTCATCAGCAAAATTTGTCTCTCCTCTTCATAATGATATCTCTGGAGGATTCCATGGCACTCAGGTAACGAAAGATTGAGAAACTGGGCAACATCAGAACTGATCTCAGGGGTTGAGAGTTTATCGACTAGGAAGAGACGAGCAACATTCTCATGTGGTCCCAGGACGACCCTGACCTCCAGGGGATATTCATCTTCTCTCAATCTCCGCTGCTCTGATTAATGCAAAACAATCAAATAATATTTTTGCATTGACGTTTTAAAAAAGCTCTCATGCCTTAAATATTGATATCGAAATACCTCCATTATCCCTGACGACAAAAAGGGCAAAATTAGCAGGTCTGGCATCGACCTTGTACTTGTCAAGCATCAAATTGATAACCTCCTGAGTGCTAACAAGACTAGTGACCCACACAGACATCTGTGAGCCATGAGGAGGAGTGAAGAAACTGGTCTCTCGATTATAAAAATGTCCATTGATGGAGCACCTGCGCCTGAGCCTTCCCCTGGACTGCCTTCGTCCCCCAGGACGTCTCCTGATTGCAGTGCTGCCCTGTTTCCTCCTGAGGACTACGCCATCGAGCTCCAGTCCACTATCAGTGGACATAGTCATGTTGTCGTCCTCTCTGAACTGCAGAGAATTGACAGACTCGGTGTCACTGTCCCCTCGGTTCCTCTGGAGGCAATCAGGCCCTGACATCGACCTATTCAGTCCCTTCTCGATCCAGCTGTCGTCGTTGGTGATGGAACGATTGTTACTTTTTTCAAGACTGTCGAAGTATTCCACTCTCCTCAGGGTACCATTTCTGCTGGGTGTTCCTTGGAAATTTGGGGTGTCTGTTCCAGAGGAGGAGTCAATGCTGTGGGTTGGAGTGCTGCTCATGCTCTCGTTCTTCTGGGGACTGGCTGTTCCCTTATCACTATTATCAACACTCGATTGAGTCGACAATGGTGGGGTGTCTGTACTGGAATGTGTACTCAAGGATGGAAGACTCTCCGGCATTGTTTGATACAATTTTTCCCCATCCTCGATCTTTCTCTCCACCTGGAGCAACTCGTCCAATTCATCCAGCTCCATGTTCTTCACGTCTAGCTTCATCGGGAGAGTCAAGCTCTTCAGGTGATCTGGAGATGTGGGAAGTGAGTTTGGCTCGCTCTCCAGCTGACTCTCAGTTGGTGACAAGTCTTTGGGGGCAGTCTCCAATTTTTCATCCTCGTCTTCCGATTTTTCTGAATAACTTCTCCTGCAGGAGTTACGATTCCTCGCTGTTACCACTGTTCGCTGATCGTCGTCTTCTTTCAAGTGGATCACTCCGCGCACTCCCCAGTAGATTCTTAAAGCTCCTTCTAGAATCAACCGACCATTCACTTCGCGACTTCGAATTCCACCACTTTTACCTTCGTAATACTGGTTGAACAGCTTCAGTTTATTCTCCAAATGCGATCTGAAGTGCAAAAAATTAAAATGTCTGATTGGATGAATGAAATTTTATCGTGCGGTATTCCAAAAAAAATTATTTTATCACGTGGAAATGAAAATAAAAAAGATAGAATTGGAATTTTACCGTGGAAGCGTTGATCGGGGCTCCTTTTTACCAAAACTCGTGTGAGATTCAACTCTCGTCCCATGGCCAAATAATTGAGGACCGAATAGAGCTCCGTAACAGGGGACATGACAATATGGTACTCCTTTATGCTAATTAAAAATGACCAATGAGTCACAGACAAATATGATTATGATTTTTAATCGGTTTATTAACAATTACCTCAGCATGTTGTCCAGGATTTAATCTTTTACCACATTCTTCACACCTGAGGCACTCAGGATGCCAGTCGTATCCCAACGACTGTTTTCTCTCAGCTAAAACACGGAGACATTGTTTGATTAAAACACACACGAGATGAAAAGGGCATTCATGAGTGGAGATAACCTTGACGGTACATTGACCTGAAATCTCCGATGTTCTGTGAAAAAATGATTATCACCCGAAGGATCTCCGCCCTCATTTATTTTTTACGTTGTAAATTGAAGGTAATTATTGCAGTCTAATTACTATTTATCGAGTATTAATACAAGATTATCTTAAACTACTGGATGAAGTCGACTGATTGACAATTACTCACCGAAGTAGACAGGCTTTCCACATTTATGACACTTCCACATGATGATCTCTATGTTCACCAAGATTGTAATCCCTCAATGAATCCCCTCCGTCAATTCACGATGTACAAACATTTTATTTGTTTACATAAATAATTGTCAGTCTTTGTAAAATGATACAGTGTCACTGGATCCAGCTGCATCACTATATAGAATCGTTCACTGAATGATGAAGAATTCGTAGAGCTCTCGAACAGTTTTTGTACTCGAAAACCCCAGGATGCACTGCAGAGTGAATGGATTTCATGTGGAACTGCATGATGGAGCCACAATCAGTGTTATTGCCCCTGTCAGATCCTCAGATCATTTCGTCCCTTAATTTCTACAAAAAAAACCTACTAACAGGATATAACAGAACAAAATAAATTGTATGAAAAAAGGGGACTCATAATTATTCTCTGGAGATAATTTGTCGTTGGTAAGAATTCGTTCTTCTCTTCCCTACAAAATGAAGACTTAACCTCAGTTTTTGATTAAAAAAATATATTATCAATTCAATTTATTTATGTATTATGTATTATGTATTTAAATTACTAGACTTTTCTGTATTTTCATTTTACACTCAATTGTTTATGTGGATTTTTTCAATTAATTCATTGGACGCATCATTTTTAAATTTGACTCAATTTTAGTTTCACGTGAAAATGGGAAATTGGCAGTTGGAGGTAGTCAGAATGGTTGGTTACATTGCATTTCCTGTGGTAATGTTCCACTGGTTTAATCAGGCTGAAAATTTTTCCACATATTTGGAGGATGTGCAGAAAATAATCCCCTCATACACCACGTCAACAAAAGCCGAACTCGACCAGTTCATCGACAATTTCAACAAAGAGAAAGATTTACAAGCAATTAATGCAATGGAATCGAAAATCTCTAAATAAATTCAGGGATAATTTGAAGAGGCTGAAATATATTTGATAATTACAAGTCAAATGTTATGTTTTATTGTATATATTTGTAGATAATTTTATTTCATAGATGGGAAGTAATAAAATTATGAAATTCATCACGTGCCCGTAATTTCTATCGGAATTGATCATTGATTTCTTTTAGTGTAGTCATCAGCTGATTTTTTTCGGGAAAATCGAATGAAGTGAGCGTCAATTCGAGACACGTGAAGTCGACAGCTCTCGATTTTTTGTTACTATTATCATTATCTCTGGTGAATTGTATCTGTTCGGTGAGTTTTTGCAATAATTGATTATTCAACCGAGTTCCTGCAGTGTTTGATAATTGTAAATAACAACGGAGGAGTCGAAATTGTTTAAAAACATCGATTTCTCCAGTGGCAATCCCTATGACCCAAATATACCGATCAGCTGATTGCGCCGGGGAAAGTTCTCCTTTAAATTGAAAAATTTCACGCAAAAGGAGAAAAGGAGTGAACAATTTTATACACTTTTAATGACAGATTCCGTACCTTTCTGAAATTTTATGTGAATTATTTCGATTTATTTTCATTCGTCACTTCCGGCAAGTGCTGTCAATATCCGGTGTCATGGCAATTTCAAATTGATTGGAAATATTTTCGATTTATCCGATGCAGTTTTCGGGATTACGATGTCAATAAAGGGAACCGAAAGATCATCCGAGTACCCCATTACGCTCTCATTACGAGTAATAATGCGGGCAATTACTATTTGCGCTCAATTGGTAGCGATTTGAGTGAGTTAAGCCCCGCACGATCTGACGTTTCGAATATCAGGCGATTTCGATTTTTTTATTGTAGAAAAATGGGAAATTTATTCCAGAGAATTCCGGATAGTGGTTCCTCATTTTTTTCTGATAGTTTTAATCATTGATTGAAATTATTTCAAACGATTCCAGAATTTTCCATGTCCTAGGATGAAGCTGGAGCTGGCTAACATCAAAGGGACACTCTTGAGACTGTCAAAAAAAAGGTCTGTGAAACAGGGACTTCCTTTCGTGCTATTTATCATAGGAGCTTCCTTCGGACTCGGGCAATTCACGAATTTGCGGTAATAATTCATACGATCAATCCCAGATTTTCTATAAATTTCAATCCCCCAACGGATTTTGAATTAACACGACGAGTATATTTTTATCGTAGATATGAGTACAGAAAAACAAAGCAGACCCAAGAAAAAATGCAGGACGTGGGACTCCCGATGAGAAAAGCCGAAGAAATTACCCTTGAGGCGCAGTATGATATCGTCAAAGAGGTAATTCCCACTACTTACGATTTATTACCAATTTTCAACCCAATGAACCGATCATTCTCATATTTTTCCTTCAATTATTAAAGTGGTCTTATATAAATTGCTCGTAATAATTATGGGATGGTAATTGGATGTTTTATAGGATTTTTCATAGTTTAAGTTCTCAATTGAAGGCTTTTTTTTATGATATTGTCACGAGAGGACAATTAGTCAATAGTACCCGTGTGACTCATTCATGTTCTGATTCCATAATAAAATGCTCGTTTTATTTTCCACCTCGCAATTACCATAATTATGTTTTTAATTATGTCTTCAGTCTTAACTAAAGACTCACGCAACGAGTAAACAGGAAAATATCTCGAAAGATTTGCGATGAATTTTCAAAATATTTTTGTTTACCAAGGAAAAAATTCCCTGACTCACGCTCTCAATTTCCAGTACGATACAGATCACTGGGAAAATAAGAGGATCTCGCGGCCATGGGAAGAGGAGACACCAAAGAGTTGAAGTAATTAATCATAGTCGTTAAAATTTAATAAATGACGCAAATTCAATGAATTCTCGTTCGATATTTGTTTGCCATTCCCCGAGGTTTTCATTGGAAGTTCATGGGCAGAATAAAAATTTTCCCCTCAACATCCTTTGACTGAAGTCAAGTCACGTGACACAAATTAAAGGGAAAATGTTTTTAATGAGCCCTGAGGGGGACTATGAGCGGATGTCACCGGAGTAGGGAAGATCATAATCGTGGGAGCGGACAATGAAGCTGTCATTAGTTTGTACTACCCTAAACCCACACAATAAATTCAAAATTTTTGTCAAGGTGAAAAGCGCGGGTTGAGAATTCGCTATATGCGCAGTCGATTTTATTTCAAAAATACAACTCAAAAGAATTTTTAAAAGAGTTCAATATACAATTAAAATGATTGCTTTCATGAGAAATTAGATATTTTTAAACGTAATAAAGAACCCCTGAAGACGCATGCAGAAATTTTTTGTGAGAAGAATTAGCCATGATATTTCCACAATTTTTTATAACTTTTATCTACAAATTGACGGGATAGACAGATTATTTCTCGAGTCAATATTTGATGACTGTTACATGATAATGACGATAAGTCATGCAAGGGGACTGAGTCGTCGAGTGCATGAGCATGTCAATTGAATTTGTGGATAGACGAAAAGTGGTGGTACGTTGGTAGGGGGTTGAATTTACAAACCGAAGAGTGGAGTGAACAAGGACAAGTGATGTTGCACGCAGAGCCGGTGGTTGGAGCAGTGGGTGATCAGTTTGCTCAGGTTTAATCATCGATTATGTCATGGAAGTGCAGCCAAGGTTGGCCCAATGTGGTTGTTGGATAGTTGAGGGGGAGAAATCTACCACTTGCTTCCTTCCATTTTCATACATAAATGTTGCTGGAGCTGTGATGCCGCTGTATTGCTGTCCTGTGCGTTATCAGTTACAGTATCCCAGTTGTTAACCATCGTCCATCGTCGACGTATCGTATCACGGGAGATCTGGTCAAGTTATTGTCAGACTAGCCGCCGAACAGGTGAGTTCAGCAGATTTATCCTCATTTTTTCCAATTTCTTCCACTTTTACAAGAAATATTAAATTTCCTTTTCACATCTATTATCATATCACTTTTTGGTGATTTTATTTGGATTTGAAATTGAAATTTAGTGGAAAATCTTCGTTTGTTGAATAATTATTGTGACTAAAAATGAATTTTCCTGAATGAAAAGAAAAAATTGCGCCTTTTCCTCGGTTTCCACTGATAAATCTCGGATTTTAAGCAGCGGAGACTCGACATGTTTGAAAAGAAAAAACAATAAAAATAAAACAAAGAAAAACCCGGAGCAACAAAGCACCTGCGTCATGCTTTGTACGAACAATGTCTCTTACTCTTTTTTATTTGTCACTTATTTATATTAGTCACGCTGATTTATTTCCTTGCTTCTCAATTATTCCCTGAAAAATTCACTCATTGCTAATTGACTCATTTTAAATCAATTGATTTAATTATTTTTTCCCAGTGAAGTGTAGGGCAGATACGAATATCGCGTAATCATCGATTTATCAGGTGATTTGACCTCGACATACGCTGAGATCGGAATTTTTACAATTGATCACGATTAGGGTAATGTCGACAGCCCCTCAAACACGTGACGATGCCACGATTTAGCGATATAAATTTCTTCCTAATCAATGGCTTTTGATCAGGCCCGATAAGGAAAATCGAGGACAAAAATTACTCGGATAGACTCATGAGACTAATTATCACGTCATTACACGGTGGATTGAATTTCTAGGAATTCATGAGCACTTTGTAATTAGTTTGAACTTGTAATCCGACCGTTTGCACGCACATGCGAATTGCAGGACGAGTTGAATGCACATGCACGCAAATAAAGTGAGTGGGTAAACAACATTAAGACCAATTTGTTGAAATTTCATCTAATATTTGCCACTCAAATTATCGCACTGGTGTTAAACTATCGATACCCACATAATCCGTAGATATTTCGGGTCATTGCACAGCTGGAAAAATACCGATGATTTTTTAAATAATTAATCAATTTATTTAATGTGAATCAGAGAAAAAATTATTTGAGACATTTATTTATTGGAATTTGGAAGAAGTTTTGGAAAAAAGCGAAAGCGCTTTTTTAACTCTCAATTGAGAGTGAAAGAGTGAGAGTGAGACTTTCGTTTTTTTTTTAAGTAGAAGGGACACATTCACAGTCACCTTCAAGGAGACCGACAGGTACAAAAAATGAAAATTCTCTATTCTCATAAACAAATTAACGCCCGGGACTATATTAGTCTCGATTGCTAGGTATTAATTAGAAAAAATCAAGGCTAAGGACGACGAGAAAAAAATGAGATTCAAGGAGTAAAACGCGACGACATCCGACTCTCGATCGTATTTTTCATTTATAACAAATAATTGTAAATAATTCACAGAAGACATTGCGTAATTATTTCAATTGTTTATTGATGAGAAATAACGCGGGAAAGTGTCGAAATGCAGGAATTTTTCCAGGGAATTGAGCTTCAGAGAATTATTCTGTCAAAAATTTCAAAATCGATTGCTCAAAGGCCTTTTTTCCACTCGTCTATTCCCACTCTCTATTTTATTTTTCATTTTTATTTGATAAAATTGAGGGGATTTTACCAAAATAATTTCGATAATGAATCTCCTTGGAAAATCAGGGCCTCTCAAATAATTTTATCAATTGAATTGAATTGATAATTGAAAATGAGATAAAATCTGCGACAATTCTCCGTCTGTCTCGCACGTGATGACTTTGACATTCACTTTATGAATTCTCTCATTTGAAATTCCCGAACGACAAAAAACGATGAGCCAAAGGAAATTATAGGATACCGAGATCTCCAGAATAATCTGAGGCTTCGATTTATTTTTGCATAATCGTCGACAGACCAGAAATATTTTATGTTTCTTCTTATTATTCTCCACGTCCTTAAAACAAAGTCACATGTAGCGGATTTCAGGTCCGCAATTTTTAATGAATTATATTGGAGAGTTTTTTTGAATATTTCTCTGAATTCGAATCGAAAATTATCATTCACCATCAGTAATCATCCCTCAATATGGAATATCTATCCGAGGAGCTCATGACCTTTCATTACGCAGTTCCATGCGATAGCCACGTGCTGAGAGTTGGCACGATTCCAGTCACATGAAAGGAAAGATGAATAGTCAACATGAACAACTGTTGTTAATAATATTGAAGAATCTCCACTTGCAATTATTAATCAAAAAATTTTCCCCGCCCTTTCAAAACTTGCAAAAATTAAAAGAAGGAAAATATATAATTGAATCTAATTTCTATTCTATTATATCATATTACATTTTGCATTAGATAATGGGTAATAATAAAATTTCTTGCTTGAATCCCGCGAATTTCACTGGAATTCTTGAAATTTTTTGGGGAAAAGTCATTACGTCATTTGATGGTAATTTTCGTGAAATTTTTTTCTCCACGCAAGCCGGACATCTGATGGAATTGCTCAAGGGCCTGCAGCCCTGTAATCACCGAAAAATGTATTCTCACGGAATTTTTTCGTCAGCATCAGATCCCGTCTTCCGATCAGAATATTCTGAAAAATTGCGATTATAAAAATTGAAACATGAGAATATTCCCTTTGTCTCGACAAAAACCGCAATTCCCCAGCCCACGTTTATTATTTATAAATAAAGCTGACAAACGCATGCGCTAGTCATATTGTTAACATTTTTATGGGTCTTGGAAAAAAGGTGGGAGAAGATAACAAGATAAATAATATTGACATCAAGGAAATTTTCACGCTATCACTATTTTCGACCGAAAAAAAATAGTGAAAGTATTTTTTTAATTTTCAAAGGTTCATTTAACCTCTAGGGTGGAAAGTGAACCTAAATTCAATAAATTATCGAATAAACATTTTGAATTCAGAAAAAAATCGAAAAATAATTCTAGCATGCAATGAATTTCACTGAGGAATTTACCTGTGCACTTTGGCATGTGTTTATTTGGAGAATGATGTCCTGAAATTGAAGAAAACGAAATAAGTTAGAAAAATCGTTAAAAAATGGTTAATCTTGTCGATTTTGCGCGCCTCCGCACGTCGTGGGGGAGAAAGAGACAGATGGAAAGACGAAGACAGACGGATAGATGGCCACCATATAAATATTCCATTCGTCGACGTGTGGTATCTTAGTGCAAGAACATTGCCCTGAAAGACACACGTCCCAAGGACACGATTTGTTTTGAAGTTTAAACGCAAACCAAAAAAATTATTACGATTGCGTGGAAAATTCCCAAAGTGTTTGCCTTAAAAATTCCAAAATTCACCGAAGAGATTGAGATTTTCGTGGTCAATTGGTGGATTTAAACCGTTAAAATGGGCTTCAGGGTTTTGGTGAAAATATGCGAGGCTGGAATCTTATCGCGATCCACAAATGCTAAACCAAAATGGACCAGCCTTGGTCGTTGCATCAGGTGGGTATTTTGCAATTTGTCTTATCGACTTGTCAAGGATGTCAGAACGTCGGAAAATGGTCGGAGGAAATCGTGAATCACTTAGAACAGTGAAACTCACACTTTTTATTTTTTGAAAACGTCACCTTCAGTCCCTCGTAGAAAGTAAAATGAACAAGGTCAATTGAATTGGTTTTGGGTTTCAAATTGTAGAGAGGAAAAAATATTTTGCAAATCCACTCGACGATTTCAATTAAAAAAGTCTCCCAAAATTTCAATTATTTTTCATAATTCTCTTACCCGACACTTTTTTCCCCAAAAAAAAATTATTATTTCTCTGCCGAACCTTCACCTTCTCTCGAATTTCTCCAGTGTCGATATTCCTATAAATTTTATCAATATTAATTTCAAGGCCCGACGATTGTCTCGATAAATCACCTCGATTCCAGTAGAATCGACGCAAAACCACTGAAACGCTGTTATCATCGGTAATAAATCGCTGTGAAAAGAGACAAACATTCTGTAATAAAGAGCAATTGATAAATTGGAGCTATCAATAATTGAATAATTAACTGAAGATGTAGCTGAAGCGATGGACAAACATGGGCTGAGGAAATGAATTTTTTATTTAGCGTGTAATAATTCAAATGACCTACATCATTGTTTACTGTTTTTTTTGGCAGCCTACCAATTTTTTAATATTTATCCAAGGCTTTTTAATCATCCAGAGTGCCAATGCACGATTATCTCCTTATTTTTCTGGGTGTGGGATGTACCATACGCCCTTTGTTGGATTGTCCATGCAATCACTGCGTGATCAGACTGAAAAATGTGTTTATTACCGCGAGAGGAGAATCGAGGCCTAAATATGAATCATGAATCATAGGAGGAATAAAATAATCAAGGGGAGCATTCAGATTTAATTGCAGAGAGAAAGAACGGGGATTCAAGTCTTTAAAAAAATGAATTTCCACTGAAGAATCTGTTCCATTTTTCATGCGGGAATAAATTAATTGAATGGAATATTTATTGAGGAGAAACTTTATTTTGAATAGACATTGCGAAGAAAGCCAGACCTCACCTTGGGTTTAATGACATTAATGTAACGAGTTTAATTCTAGGTGATTAAAGCGATGAGAATGTCACGGACTGAATGAATAATTTTTTACTCCCCCAGAATGTTCGACATGTCTAAGAATTCTGTAAAAATCGTTACTATATTTTTCGACGATATCATGTTTTTCAGCACAACGACGACAATGTCGAGGTCTATGCTGAAAGACTCTCCAAATGCTGCACTGGATAAGACAATTTTGGGCAGGTATATGGATCTGCCCCAACCCGAGGACAAAGTCCAGGCTAAATACATCTGGATCGATGGAACTGGCGAGGGCATGAGGTCCAAAACGAGAACTCTAAACTTCGTGCCGAAACATCCGTCAGGTAATAAATTTTTAATTCTGCATTTTTATCAATCTCCAGATCAATTAATCAATAAAAATATAGGAAAACCTCAGAATTTCCAATTGGATTCATTCCCTCGAGCATCTGCAGCTCGACATGTGCCAGTAGAAAGCCGGAGAAAATGATTTATAAAAAAAGTGATGACGAAACACCAGGCGCTTTGGCAGATACTGCGAAATTTCATCTCGCCTCTGGAAATTTTTGTTTACGGCATGCCATTCTATTCGCACAACTGAGCGAATTAATTCCACTGTCTCGTATCACTCGTTATCAACGCGTTCTCCATTATTTCACAGAATTATCAAAATCAAAGTGGGGAAAAAAAATTTCTGTATCGCAGAGATAAAGAAATCCCCGGCAATTTGTGTGTTTGATGTTTTTACGTAAAATACCATTGGTGAATTATGCAATTCTTTGCGTCAATGAAGGGAAAGATATGGATATATGGGGTGGCGAATTGCGTAGGCAATTGGATTGCGGAATTGATGAAATTACTGGGGAGATATAAATACTCAATGTTTTAGAGGGTATTCCCCTTTAATTTCAATTGAATAAAGCCACTAATTGGGCGCCCGAGGGACTCAACGAGCTTCAATTGAATATTCGGATTACTTTTAACGGCGCTTGAAAGTCATCAATAAAAAGTCTCTTTCTCCGTGAATGTCTCGTACAAGAAGAAATTGAAAGATAAATTGACTCGTTCAGTACAAGGCTTTCACTCAATGTTTTCCAATTCAATTTTCATATCCCAAAATATTCAACTAATTCTACAATTTTATTTATCTCTTCCGATGGATTATGATTTAATTGAATTAAATTACATTAAAATGACTTTTTCAGTTGAATATGTGAAATATGAAAGTAGAGTAAAAGAAAATTAATTACAGAGCTTCCATGGTGGACGTACGACGGGAGTTCGACGTACCAGGCAGACGGTGCGAATTCTGACATCTTCCTGTACCCAGTGGCAATCTACCGGGATCCATTCCGCCGAGGTCACAACCGGTTGGTCCTCTGTGAGACCCTGAACAGCGACAAGACCCCAACGAGAACGAATCTCCGTCACAAGTGTAACGAAGCGATGGAAGCAATTAAGGAGCTGGAGCCCTGGTTCGGCATCGAGCAGGAGTACACATTCTTAGATTTCGATGGAAGACCCCTGGGCTGGCCAAAAAACGGCTTCCCAGGACCCCAGGGTCCCTACTACTGTGGTGTAGGTGCGGATAAAGTAATTGGAAGGGAAATCGTCGAGGCACACTACAGGGCTTGCCTCTACGCCGGTGTCAATCTCGCTGGTACAAACGCAGAGGTCATGCCATCGCAGTGGGAATTCCAGGTTGGCCCCTGCGTGGGAATTTCTGGAGGTGATGATCTGTGGATTGCTCGTTTCCTTCTGCACCGTATTGCTGAGGAGTACGGAGTGATCGCCACCCTGGACCCCAAGCCAGTTGATGGTGCATGGAATGGAGCTGGAGCCCACACTAATTTCTCGACGAAGCTCATGAGACAGGATGGTGGCATCGCCGAGATCAATAGGGCCATTGAGAAGCTCAGCAAGCAGCATCTTCGTCATATCCAGGCGTATGATCCACGTGGGGGAAAGGACAATGAGCGTCGTCTCACTGGCAAGTATGAGACTAGCAGTATCCACGATTTCAGTGCTGGCACTGCCAACAGGGGCTGCAGTATTCGCATCCCCAGGGGTGTCGCTGAGGACAAGAAGGGATACCTCGAGGACAGAAGACCAAGCAGTAACTGTGATCCTTATGCTGTCTGCAATGCACTCGTTCGCACTTGCTGTCTCAATGAGTAATTTTTTTTTCAAACTGCAGTCGATCCTGCTGGGGGATTACAGAATTTTTGGGAAGGATATTAGAATTTTGGTGGAAAACTACAGTCTGAATAAGTAAATTTGACATTCCTCGTTGTCAATTGCATGAGAAATAGAAAAAAAAAGGTTTACCCCTAGTTTTCATGATGTCTAGTAGAATAAAGTGATAAGGAGTTATGGAAAATGTTTTTCTACGGTCGATCGCATAAAGTGAGGGATTCGGTTGATTGTTTCAGTGTTCATGTCACAAAAAAAAATGAGAAATTGTAAAAACCAAATGTTAAAATGTGTTAGATAATGGCGAAAATATTAGAAAAAATATATTTGGGGATGGGGGAGGTGAAGGGGAATTTTTGAGAGATTTATGAAGGAATTATTACGCATCCTAGGGTATTTGCATGTTAAGATTATGTCAAGCTGAAGCACTTGACAGTATCGCCAGGTCACAATCTTCGCGTTGTTATCGTCGCTGAGAGGATTTATGTATTTTTCACATTTTTGACAGTAATGTATTATCTGTAATTGCTCGTTAATAATCTCATAATCTCCGGTGAGATAGGCCTCTTTTATATCTGATTCGACGTGGCTGTCAGCCTGGGATTGGGTCTCGTGGAATTCTAGAAATCACTAGGGAATCAATGATCCTTCGATGGAAATCGCCAATTCAGATTACGAGGGGAATTAATTTTTTACTCGTCTTTATCGAAGACTTGTTCATCCCAGTCTATCTTGTTTATTACAGATATATTTTTTATTCTCACACATACTTCAATTATTTTTTATCCAGAATGTTATAAACAGGATCATCACAATTTAATCAATCGTTTATGTTGAACTGTTTAGAGAATAATAAGGGAGAAATTCATTTATATTGAGCAAAAATTTTATAGAGAATATAATTGTACAAAAGATGCAGTGTAAATCGCTATTTTCGCATAATCTTTTTTTTTTTTGTCATGAGACGAATGGAGGAGGTGATATTGTAATTAAATATATCGAAGAACAGAATAAAGTGCTATTTTGAAAGAGTAGACAGGTGATTGGTCTGTATTTTTTCATCTGATGAATAATCTCTCTTAATGGGTTGACATTGACGCAATCACGAGATACAATCAATTTTTTAGGAATCACAAATTAAGAAATGAAAGTCGTAGTTTTTTTTTATTCTTCAAAATTATGTACAAAATTAGACGAATTGGGATGCGGGTGGTCATATTTTCGTGGGTCTTGATTATTTAATTAATCTAGCAATTGTCACAACGTGGGAAAAACGAAAAAATTTGTGAGCCGTGTGTCAGGACGAAATAGTAATTTCCGTGGGAATTAAAGTTCTCAATGATTCAACGCAGAGAGAAAAAGAAATTCTGGTCATACGATGAATTGTCGGCTAACACATTTAGTTCTCATTCATTAAAAAATTACGAAAATGGGCTTTATATATTTATTACGTTTGTTCATCCACATTTTCGGTGATACTCTGGTGGAGCTGCGCCGTAGTCCTGGAGGCTAAATAAGTCACTACTATTTTTGTGGAGATACCTGAGGAAGTCGTGGATGTGGGACAGCAGAAGTTGAATACTCCTCTCGTCCAAGGGTGTATATGACAACATATTTCCAAGCTTAACAAACAATCGCAGTAAATGTGAGGCCCCATAAATTTGACTGGGCGGTGTATTTGGTTTCTCAGACATTATTTCCCCATACTGCTGTCTCTCCCATCTGTAAAGCAATTGCGTCCCCAGCATGACATTGAAGTACTCTCGAAGGCCCTTCGTAACTTCCAGTACAGCACTCTCTTTATTAGGGGTATTAGTTTTGCTAGAGGTCTTGAACTTCACGTAATCATCGAGAATCTGGTCGACAGTGTGCCTGGCAGGTAAAGTGACTAATTTCCTCTGTCGACTGATGGCATCCCAGTCGTCAACGAGCCAGGGCTTCAACTCGTCAGGAAGTTTAACCTTCACCTCGACCTTCGTCAAGAACTGCTCCTCGGTTTCCACGGAGGGATCAATCCTGCTTCGCTTCTTCCTGGGAGCGTCCGAGGAAGAGTCATGTGAGGAAGGAGTGACAGATCCACTGCTGTTTTTATTGACTCTCGTGGAGACTTTATCACTACCAGGCACCGGCGTGCTTGCCCTACTCTCTGAGCCCTTGTCCTTGATAACATCACTCTTCCTCCCTGTGGTCTTTACCACCGAAGTCCCCTTCTTTCCCTTCTGGGTCGACTGCTGGGCATCATGGGCCCTCTGCACTTCCTTCTGCTTCTGGACATTCGCCTCATTGTACTTGAGGACACGACTTTCCGGCACCCACTCATCCCAACTAAAATCACAAATTGACGGATTCGGATTCGCATTTTAAAGATCAATTAATCTCACAAACCGCTGGTTTTAGGAAAAAACCAGAAAAGACCATTTTTCTGGGAAATTGAATCGGCTACAAAAAATGTCTTTACAGTTTCCACCTCAGATCAATCGTTCTCGAGGAAAAACGCTGACTGAGGAAAATCTAGCGAGTTCATCGATGATTCCCGGATTTTTTACGAGTGATTGTTTTTGCGATGAATTAATTTATGAAGACAACTCACTTTTTATTCCAACCGGCGTAGTGTATGAAGTATTTAACCTGCTTCTCCTTGGATACCGATGATTTCAGGCATTTGGCCTCGTAGATGAGTGGCCCATGGAAACAAAGCACCTTCTCACCTGTTCACATAATTGCAGAGACATTATCTGAATTCTCATCGAGCTCGTCATTCACCGTTTTTACCTTCTGTGAATTTACACTTCATGGGCATTTGTTCGATCGACAATCTATCCCTTGGTCACGTCAATTTGTTGGTATTTATTTGATCTTTATTGTTTATCTGGAACTCGTGAAAAGCGTCTGCAAGCCGAGCATTTCTGAAATTGAGGTTAACTTCTAGCTAACTTCAAGGCGTTCACTGGAATAAACAGTGAAGTGTCAAACTTTCAGCTTTGACAGTTAAACAATGGGAGTTTGACACTCAGTGGAAATTTGGAAAATGTCTGCCAATTATTATTTCGTCATCGTTGGAACTGAGGATAATCCACTCTTCGAGATTGAGTTCTGCGGATCCAGCAAAGACACAAAAGTAAACAAACAATTATTTGTATCTATCATTTATCATTTATTTAAATAAAAAAGCAATGACTTCATCCATGAAACAATTCGTCGATGAGATGTCTGTGAATTCTACTTGAAATTCTTTTTATCCTATTTTTTCTTTCAGAAAGAAGATCATGCTCATTTGAATCAGTTCATAGCTCATGCAGCTCTCGATCTGGTGGACGAGAATAAATGGAGAAGCACGAATATGCACCTGAAAGTAATTGATAAATTCAATCAGTGGTTCGTCAGTGCATTCGTCACTGCCACTCAGATTAGATTTCTCATGGTACACGATACCAAGAATGACGATGGCATTAAAAATTTTTTCAATGAGATGTACGAGACCTACATAAAGGTACATCAATGCATTCATAAATTTGAATTCCAATTTTGCTGGCAAGACTTTTCACCTCAACTAATCAATTTCTGATTCAACCCTAATTTTTTTTAATAGTCAATTTATTTCCTCATTAGAACTATTTTTTAATTGCAGTATTCGATGAATCCGTTCTACAAGATAAACTCCCCGATAAATTCCACGGGATTCGAGAAAAAAGCCCAGCTGTATGGCAGAAAATACCTGACCTCTTAATTCAATTTTGGGGGTACCCCTCCAAAAAAAAATGTACAAAAACAATTAAATAAAATGAATTAAAAATAAATTAAATTGAATTTTCGTTTCTGCGACATCTTGTGTCTGGTGCATCAACAATTTCCCTGACGAGTTCTCGTGCACATTGTAAAAAATTGAACCCAAATACCCATCTCCCCTCGAAAATAGATGAAAATTTCTAAAAATAGAATAGACTCGAGTGCCAAATGAGTAGAAAATTTTTCAGCGCCGAAAGATGCTCTGACCTTCACCAAAATTAGAGGTCGAGTTAGTGAGGACCAGACAGGTGTGAACAGCTGTTTTACGAGATCCCAAGTCCTAGCGATCAATCCAAGGAAAAATGCTGACTGTCGACGATAAAAAGGTGATTTTTATTGACTACTTCTCGAGTAATTATTCCTCTGGAGTCAACATGTTTTCACTTGCTCGAGAAAATGACGAGAGCGTTCATTACATCAATTCCAACTCCGAAGTCTATTTCTCTGGGCTCTAGGGGATCAGAAGGTCAATTGATAAATGTAATCCCATCGAGACAAGAATTTCAAGACTCTCTAATTACTACAACATAAATATTCTAATAAGTAACCATTTAACCTCTATTCGTCACTCACGAGACGAGTCCAATTCAACATTTTGGTTAATTACCGGTTTATTTCGAAAACTGTCGACTAACGAGGAAAAACTCATAAGAATTTTTTGTAGGAAATTAAATTCCCGAGGAAAAAAGTCATGTTCCATTTCTTCTCAAAATCAATAGTTTACTAGATTAGTCGATCGTTAAGAAAATCAATCTCGACTTGAGGGAGGACGTTATCACTTTCCTCGAGTAGATAAAATTTAAAAAATTATCAGAATTTCTCCTTATCTCAGTACATCCTCTGGAGAATTATTATTTTTTAATGGTATTCGTGGGTTTATTCTGAAAGTTTTTTCCCTGAAGGAAAAAGAAAGGAGACGTAGAATAATTGAGGAAAAAATATTTCTCCAGAGGAAAAACACCTGAAATAAGTAAATGCTTAGAATATTTGTTAAAAATTCAATGAGAATTGAAAATAAAATATATAATATCGTTACCATAATCTATCATAAAAATAGGACTGAATTCACAGCCAAGTGGATCTCGTAATCTATTTTTTATATATTCAGTCACAATAGAAAAATGAAAGTCCAGTCTGTTAAGGAGAATCTCTCGTAATAGAAAAAAATTATTCAATTCCATCACCAATTCAATGAGTTATTACCATTTCAATGAACGTCAAGTGTCCAGGGTATAATTCGTGGCTCAAGTAGAGATAAAAATATCCCAAGCTGCAGAGCCCCTAGAACAACTGTCATCTAAAAATATATAATTATCGTACTGTCGTTTCTCCATCGTTATCAGTGAGTTTATGTGAATTCTCTATCAGTTGTCAGAGGCCAATGTCTAGTCTAGAAGAAAGAGAAGAGAGCTATCCAAAATATTTCCACAGAGATACCTAAAACAACCGAAAACGTTAGTTCATATTTATTTCTTCATTTTTCACTGTGTCTTTTTAAAAAATGGTGAAGAATTCTTTCCGAGAAATAAAAAATACTTCCTGACCAGGTGATACCCGAGTTTTACAACTGAGATATTCCCATAAATCCGCAGTAAAAATCGGTTGAAAAAAATCGATTGCACGTAATCCGACAGATCGCGGAAATAATAGATCGCAATAATCTCAGATGTCAGCGTGACCGTTCGACATTTTAATTGCAGAGCTGAATCCGGTGATAAATAATAAGACCTTGACACAAAGAACGTGTCAAGTGACGAAACACAAAAGTAAATTTCTTTTAACGGGTAAACCAATAAATAATAAACAAATCCATCACCGATCCGCATATTCCGCGTGGCAAACACTTCCCCAATGACATCATAATCCCCGATGTACGTATTAATCCAGTAAATAATTACCGTTTGAATAATGATGAGGCGTTTGGCGCGTATCTATGCTCGGAAAATTTAAGAGACCTCAAAAACTCTGATACTGAATTTACTGATAACAAAACTCATACATAACGCAATTGACTCCTCGGATGGGTCTTGTATCAGAGCTGTCCAGAGTCTCAACAGCTGCACACCGTTAACTAGTTCTAGATTAAATTTTGAATCAGTCGTTTTCCTTCCATCGAGCCATTCAGACATGGAGTATTTACTTCGCGTGAGTAAACAGGAGCTGTTATTACTTTCAATAGTGATATTGAAGTTTAATTGACAGTTGACATTTTTCAGTTATTTAGATTCTAGAGATGTTCGCAATTACGTGATTATTAAAATCATTCGAGAGCGTGACGCCAGAATTCTCCAGATTGTTATTGTTGAGAGTTGTGTAACTGGAGAATCATGTGACTTTATTCCTGAAGTAGGAAAAATGTTAGACGTAAATTCCGCTTTCTAGTCGATTTTATTCGATTCTAGCGGATTTTTTTACGATTTTGGCGAGAATTTTTTTTATTTTTCCTTATTTTTAAATCACATATTTAATCTTCTATTCGAATCATCAAAGAATTAATAAAATACCCGATTTTACAATGTGATTATTCCATAAAAATAAAAAAAAGATCATGTCTCAAAAGTCTGGGAAGTGATTGTCATTGAAATTTGAGGAATAAATTAAAAAACTCCCCACCAGAATTAAATTTTTTAATTTAAATTTCCGTTCCCCCAAAATTCCTCTGAATTCCAGTCAAGAGGGCACAGCAGATCTCCCTCAGACACTCAGGCATTCCGAGAAAGAACGAAAAGAGACGCTGAGAATGAGCTCGCAGCAGAGCTGCAGAAGCTGGAGAACACAGCACCACCGCACCTCCGCCAGGAATTCCACGACGAATTCGCGGGTTTTACGAAGCTCTTCCAGAGGTTCCTGCAGGACTCGGGCCCCTCAGTGGTATGGGAGCAGATCCAGAAGCTTCCAGAGGACGCAATCAGGGATTACGACTCCCTGAAGGAGCCAACGAACGAGGAAATTCGCGACATGTTGAACAAACTGGTGGTGGTGAAGCTGAACGGTGGCCTGGGTACCAGCATGGGATGTCACGGTCCAAAATCCTCGATAGTCGTTCGCAATGATCTGACATTTCTCGATTTAACAGTTCAGCAGATCGAGCACCTGAACAAGGCATACGGAGCAAGTGTTCCTCTCGTGCTGATGAACTCCTTCAACACTGACGCAGATACTCAGCGAATAATCCGAAAATACAAAGGTTTCGACGTTATCATAAAGACATTCAATCAGAGCTGTCATCCGAGGATAAACAAGGAGTCACTGCTGCCAGTGGCGAGAAACTGCGACGTCAACGAGGAGCTCGAGGCCTGGTATCCTCCAGGACATGGTGATTTCTACGAGAGCCTCCAGCGTTGTGGACTTCTCGATGAATTCATCAAGGACGGCAGGCAATACTGCTTCATATCCAACATCGATAACCTGGGGGCAACTGTTGACCATAAAATTCTCAAGCTCCTGCTGAACCCCACCACTGAGCCTCACGAATTCGTTATGGAAGTCACTGACAAGACAAGAGCCGATGTCAAGGGAGGGACTCTTATACAGTACGATAATAAATTACGACTCCTCGAGATCGCACAAGTACCCAAGGAGCACGTCGACGAATTCAAATCCGTTAAGAAATTCAAGTTCTTCAATACCAATAATCTCTGGGTTAAGTTCAGTGCCATTGAGAGAATTCTCAAGGAGAAGACCCTGGATTTGGAGATCATTGTCAATCCTAAGGTCTCTGATACTGGAATTCATGTTATTCAACTGGAAACCGCTGTGGGAGCTGCCATGAAGTCCTTCGAGAGGTCCATTGGCATTCATGTATCTCGCAGCAGATTTTTACCTGTCAAGAAGACTTCTGATCTCATGCTCGTTAAAAGCAATTTGTATGTTCTGAGGAATGGATCGTTGCTCATGAGTCCTCAGAGGATGTTCCCGGGGACTCCCCTTATCAAACTTGGGGACAATCACTTTGCCAAGGTTGAGGAGTTCCTCAGGAGATTCAGCACCATTCCTGATTTGTGTGAACTAGATCATCTCACTGTCTCTGGGGATGTCACTTTTGGCAGGGATGTCTCACTCAGAGGAACTGTCATTATCATTGCTAATCATGGGGACCGAATTGATTTACCCTCTGGCACGATTTTAGAAAATAAAATTGTGTCGGGTAATCTCAGGATTCTGGATCACTGAGGAAAATCTCGAAAATTTCTTGGGGGTCCAAGGGAGATGATTCTTGTGGAGTTAGAAATGGTTTTTTAATTTAATTATGAATTAGAAGGAGAATATGGGGTCGTGAAAGAATTTAGTGAGACCAGGAGTTTGATTATCTCGATTATCCTCCTCAGATTGGAAATTGGAGTACTAATCCAGCGGTAGTCGATGGTTTTAGTTGGAAAAATATATTTTATCGTAGGAATCGTCTCCTTGGACGTTCTCAATAGATCAATAAGTGATATGATTCGTTTTTTAATCATGAGGGCTCTAGGAAAATTTTATCCCCGTTCTCTGTCCCTATCCTAATCAACTTGTAGATGTTTTTTTTTCTGTCTGAAATATTATTTTCGTTCTAGTCTGCACTCAAGTTATACTCAGTCGTAAAAATAAAATTGTGTGGAATTTCGTATTGACGTGCTGCTAACATTTATTGAAAAAATTCGGACGGCTCTCCTCACCTCTTATAAATTCATTATCCCTCTCGTGTAAAAATTAAACGTCAATAAATATATTTTGTAATGTACGAATAAATAAAACGAAAATTAATAACTTTACGAGAAAAATAAATTTATCATTCATCGTTTGAAATAAAAAAAGAATTATTCAGTTCCTCTCCACATAACTCTAGATGAAGCTGAGAAAATGTGGACATTGGGCTTTTGTACAAGAAAAATTTCATTTCTTTCGTATTTAGATATTCCATTTTGCCTCAGCTTTTTCCACTCTCATCAGGATATTCCTTTTTGATTCTAGCCACAGTGATATGCAAATTTTATTCACATCGCTAGAGTCATTAGATTGAGCTAGTTTTTGGTAGTGTCTTAACAATGGAATTGTCGCGTGGACGTTCATGAAATTCTTGAAAACAGGGAACAATGCAGAGATTTATCTGGCACTCAGGACAGTGATACTTGGTTTTACGTCTGAGGGTGCGACCATGAGCATCAACAGTGTTCCAACAGTGATTGCATCCGAGAGCTGGACCAGGACGTTGAACTGGGCAATGCCCCAGACGCTGATCACTGGTGCCCTCCCTGGATCGATGCTCTGACGAACTTGAGCTCGTTCCCATCTGCAGGGGCAAATGATTCGGCAATGATTAAAAATGCAATTCCATCCCGATGGTATATTTGAATTACCTGTGGAGTCGACGAGCTCCTGAGTAACTCAGCAGGAATGATCCTCAAGCCAGTGGACGGGCTGCCGTCCTTGCCATCCCCAGGTCCTCCCTCGATTTTGATCCTGGGTAATGGATCGACGGAGATGCTGGGGCTGGACGTCCTTCCAGGATACTCTGGATTGGAGTGCTGTCTCTGCATCCAGCCACTGTAATTACCTGATGATCCTTGCTGCTGACTTGGGAGGAGAGGATGGGAGTGCTGTTTCACCAGGTATGAGGGCTGGGGAACAGTCAGAAGATTTGTACACGTTGTCATGGTCAGGAGGCTCTGATTGGAAGGATTGGGCTCGGTGTCTTGGGGATTCGACGTTGGAAGATTCAGGATTGGAGTGACTGGGTGAGGAGACTGGACGATCCTAGGTGATCCTGGCTCACTGTCAGGGGATGGGTGTCCTGGCTCCAGGTCCTTCTTCACTCGGGGCTGCTGACGCATCAGCAATAGTCGACTCCTCTTTATTCCTACTTTGCCCTGGTAAGCTGCAAGAATCAATTCAAAGTCTGGAATCATTATTTATTGTCAACTCTCTGGAGAAGACTCTGGAGACTCTGTCTGAGTATTTATTTTAAAAAATCTATTAAAATTATTGTTGAATTTTTAAATTGAACTCTTAATGCGTCTAGTAAAAATGAGAGGACCTTGGGAATGAAAATATTTGATGCATAAAATGTAGTGAGTTTCATGATTTTCTTAATTTTTATTAAATATAAACTGCCATTACAATTAATAAATAATTACGCAACTGAATTCAAGAGGTGCGACTAATCACGATTATTTATTGTCAGCATTATTGAACGTCGTTGATCAGGGAATTGTCATTTTCGATGATCAATTCACTGATCAATACTCAGGAACAATAGTGACAGGTAAATGAAATGAACGGAATCTCCTAAATCAGTTATTCATGTCTCTTTCGTTTAATACCTCTTCCTGTAATACTTGTTCATTAGAATTATTGTATTTAATTATTATATAGAGTAACGATCGACCTTCGAGTGAACTCAGTCAATTCTTGATCGTGTGGCCTCTAAAAAATCAATGTCGACTCAACATTGCTACTTACAGTAGGCGCATTTTCTTTTTTTTTAAAAAGTCGAATTTATCAACGTACGAAAACTGGTAAACAATACACAGTATGAAATACTCCAGCGTACGACATGTGGAATAGTGAATTACAGCTGACATTAAATTAAATCACCAGGAGAAATTATTTACAGAATTCCATCATTTTTATACACCTACGGATCCTATCACCTACGTTTAAGCACGAAAGAAAGAAAACTGAAGAGAACTCGATAGTAAAGCAGTAAAAAAAGACAAATGCATTGAATTTATTTATTGCATTCATTTTTTTAACCACTTCACCGTGACACCGGTTTTATTTTTAGTGGAGGAGTAGAAATCATGAATTGAAAAAAAAAAATCAAATTAAAATCGATGGATAAAAAGGGATGAAAAGGGATAAAATCCCAGAATTTTTCATCCAAGAATTTCCTATCAATTTCGACGAAGGTCATTTCCTCAATATCCACCGAACGAAAATAAAATAATGAGAAGGAACGAGTGAATGAAATCTACAAGTTTTCAATCGAGAAAATCCCCGGAGTCAGTGGAATGGCAATAGTCGATTTTTGGAAAAATTTCCCCTTGAGTGGCGAACGAGTCACAAAAATCAAAAAAAAAAACTGATTACCCTCCACTGTCCCCCGAGAGCTCGTCCTATTTGTACACATAAGAAAACGCATCATTTCACATGGCATTGTAATTAACCCCATGCAGATTGATGGGCATGTTGGTGTTGGGTAATGAGTAATCATTATGCCTGGTGTCGACGTAACTGCTGAGCATGTGAGGGCTGTGTGCTGTGAGCATAGTATGAGTATTGAGAGTATTGTGAGTGCTGTGAGGTGTGTTTGGAGGGCCCATTGGGGTTGGACTCTGAGAGTTGACAGGCTGTGAAGGTGGTGCAGGTGGTGGTGACGTTGGTGCTTCCTGCTTGACCCTTGACTTGAGACTCGGTCGATTATTCGGATATCCCCTCTTCTTGTACTCGAGCCAGAGTGTTCTGTTGTTGACACCAAACATCCTGGCAGCTTTGCAGAAACCAATGCCACCATAACGCACAGCATCAAGTGCTCTGATAAAATTCTCATCAGCCTGTGGATTCGTTGATCTCTTTCTCTTGACTGTTGCCTGGGGACTGGCACAGGGACTCTGACATGTATTTGAACATTGGCCTGATGGCGATGGGCCACCAGACGATGGCTGCAGACCTCCGTGCGTTGGACTCGTGTAATTCGTTAAAGCACAACTCGATCCTGGTGCATTTGTACCAGGGTACTGATCGTTGATGCTCGATGATGCCGTTATTTCGGGGGTCGTGAATGCTGATGATGCTTGGATCGACAGATTCGTTTGACACGAGGATAGAGCGAAACGTGGATACGTGTGCTCCATGATTGTCCATTGCAATCCTGTGGAACAGACCAATTCAATTTTTCTCTTTTTCTATTCTTCTTGTTTTATTTTTGTTACAGTTAAAGTTTAGGATTTCTCAGTGTTTTCAGCTTTGGTTTCGAGGTTTTTATTTTATTTCAGTTTTTTTTAAACATTCTTGAGTTTTTTTTATTGGTCATTTGCTTTCAGCGAGAGTAAATCTCGAGTTTCTCCTGACTCTCAAAACGGAAATGATAAGAATATGGCATGGCACAGATACATAATCAAGCACAGATCAATTATTTTCATTGATATTGTTCGAGGGGAGATTGGGGGAATTTCGAATTTTTTGAATCGTGAATGGCTTCGATGAATTGTTTAGAGGATTGACAATATTTTTTTTTCTCTCAGTGGAATGATTATGGCTGGAGGGAAAGCACACATAGACACTCGATGATTCACGATCACTCGATATTCAGGTGTGCTATGTATCTGTGTGCCAGCGCAATGTGATTTTTCCAGGATTTTTTTAATTTGAATTTTACATTTTATCGAATCGCTCTATTTTCATGTCAAACGTCTGCTGATTCCGATGTGCAACATACTTGAACGCATCTGTGCCAGCATATATTACACAAATGAAATTGTCGGAGACATGCGGGAAACTAATCGACTAGTTGATAATCGCACGAGGTACAGAATTCGGGGAATTCCAGGGTGAGGATGTGACACGGGAATTCACGCATGAAAAAATTAACAGAAAGAATTTATTTATCTGAGAAATTTGGCAATTAAATTTATACTAGTTACAACAATAATTGATAACTCTAAAATTTGTTATATCACTCGATATTTAACAGATATGCAAAATTTAATTCAATAACTTCACGTCGAACTGGAATTCCTCCAATAAAAAATTCTTCTATCAATTTTTTTCATCCCTGTTTGTACATTAACTGCGCGACTGGATGTAATAACGACGTTCATTGAATTTCAATGACTTATTTGGCTGTCGTTTATTGGGATTTCTACATAAAATGAATAAAACAAATGAGATAAAAATTTTCTACCTTGATGGGCTGATGCCTGTCCGGCTGATAGTGAACTCTGTCCAACGTTTGTACCTGATTGCTGACTCACGTCCTGCATTGAGCCCTCACTTTGTGCTGGGGTTGTTGCTGAACTGCTCTCCATGTTGCTCATCTGAAAAAGAGGCGAATGAACGAATGGATGAATAAATTAATGAATTAATCAACTGGACAAGATTTTTCAATCCCAGTGAAAATAATTCACACTCACGATTGATATTTGATCTTCGTCGATGCTCCCTTGTGACTCAGTGCTGGTGTTAATAGGACGTCTCAAGCTCTCACCACTTTCCTGCGTCATAATCAGTGGCTCTGGTTTGACAATATTAGTGGCAACAAGAGTTATCTCGTTGACCTCCTCTTGCTTATCACCAGAGCCAGACGTGGAGCCTGTCGACGTCTTCCTCAATCTCTTCCTCCTGTACGATGGTGACATGGGTGATGGACTCGGTGAGCACGATTCACCCCGATTTCCATCACTCGGCTCTGAACTACCACTTGGCCACTTCGTTAATGACGCTGTATGCATCTCGGCTAGACCTTTGATCTTTAAACTCTCTGCAGTCTTAATAATTGATGGCAATTGATCCTGAGAAACATTCACCTCCCCGTAGTACATAAAATCCACCATAATTTTGAGATCCGAGAACTTCACATCCTTCAGAATGACAATGGGATGCTGACATGGATTAACCGTGAACAACGATTGAAAATACGTGCTGCACGCTGACAGCACGACTTTGTGTGCTTGCAAGTGTCTCCCCTCAGCAGCAAGTGTCACATCAACCAGTGTCTCATTACTCAACAGAGTCGAGAATACGGATATGAAATTTGGCTGGTGATTGTTCCAACGAAGGCAGAACTGTTGCATCGACATTTTATCACTCAATTCCCCAGTGGGCTCTTCAACACAAAAATATTCGATTGAAAATCAATTCAACCTGAAAATTTACAACAAATACTTGACGTAACTGAATTAAAAAAAAACAAATTATCATTATAAAATAAAAAATCCCAACGATTGCTCTCAAATTGCAAATAACCCTCACTTTTCAATCTCTCCCTCCAGAGGCGAATTTCCCCGCTTTCTCCACTTTCCCCCCAAAACAAAAAGAAACAAAACATGAGGCAAATAATAATTGGGTGATTCATACTTTACCTTTTCTTCCTGAATGAAGACAACAATTGGCGGCTTTTCACATATTTTTCATAGAATAAAATGGAAATGCAAAATGATTTTTGCAAATGGCTTTTCTCGATGGAATAACTTGTGGTGAAATTCACTGGTGGAAACGAGTCGTTGGATTCACTGGAGACAATTGGCCGTCGATTATGTTATTATCGGATTTTTTGCTTGCTGTTTTCTCGGTTGTTTGCTAAATTTATCAGGTAGACTGGCCGATGACGCTTGTGTAACTCCCGGAGAGTGACGTCATAAGAAGAGCGATAGAATGTGGCTCTACTGCGTCGCAAATGTAATGATAATTCATTCGATACTCGATAGCGGATGTCCCCTGGATTAGTTGTAACACTGATAATTGTTTTCGGTTGTTGGTGCAACGAGGAGGGGGAGAGGGGACTTATTGGTTAATGTCAAACTGGGATATTCATAAATTGGGGATGATCAATACACCAGGCGGGGGTCGGCTTTTGGAGAACGTTTGCCACTCTTGAGAATTAACAACCCCTTCTGCTGGATCAGGTAGATGCCTGATTTACCTTTCGAGTTCGGTTTGGGTGACTCCACCGGCATTATAGTACATCACTACGACACCAAAATATGTGCGTTTCGTCCCCACAATTCAGCGATTTCTGGCGTTTAGATTTGAATGCTAGTCGAGTCGTTTGATTTTTTTTCTTTCAAATTGACATGAAAAAAAAAGTAATTTAAGTGAAACTCTTTCCACGCCACCCAAGAGGTAGAGTCCTTGACGCGTTTTTTTTTAACGTGGTATCCCCTGTAGGCCTAATCCACTAAGTCAATGGATGGGAAATGGGGATGAATGGGAAAAAAAGGAAAAAATTTAATTTCCATAGAAGGAAATTAAATAAAACAGTAAATAACAATAATTTTTGCTGTCATTCTTTTCCTCCATTTTCTGATTTTTTAAAATATATTTCACATTTTTTCCTGGTATTTGCAATTATCATTTTTTAAATAGTCCCACCAGTGCCGAACAGCTGCAGAGTGGGGATGACATGGAGATGAGGGGAAGATGATAGTGACCGCCGCGCTGTCTCGTGCCGCCTGAGAGAAATTGTCCCCCGATTTTGGATTGGCAATACCTGCTTGTATCATACCTTATATTATTTTCAATAACACAAGTGCTCATTGTTGTGGTCGATGTCATCAGCTGACGAAAATTAAATTTCTGTGTACATATTTAAAATAGTCATAATAAAAATTAGAAATGTACAGTCAGGATATTCTAGCTACATTGTCGATGTTAAATCATCTCAGCAACAATGACTTGGAAGAAATATTGAACGACGATGGAAGATTCGAGGAAATTGACAATGACATAAAACAGGTGAATTATTTACTCGATGACGAATGTTGGGATTCGAGACTTTGAAGCTTCAAATGGAAGGAATTATTCAGCATAAGATCTTGGAGGCGACGAAACAGGTGGAGTGCCAATTAGATGGAGAGAGTGAATCTCTGGAGAACCTAGATATTGATGATATTGAAAAGCTGAGGAAGAAGAGGTTACAGGAGATGAAGAAAGTACATTAGCAGAAACAGGCGTGGTTGGTTGCTGTAAGGACCATAATTTTTTTCATTGATTT